TAACGCCAAGTGGACGATAACGAATCCCACATAAACATATAAAAAAATGCTTATAAAAGTATATGTATATTTAAATGTTTTATTCATCTGGAATTATTCATTCATTCATATATTGCTGACTTAGTGAGAAAAGTGGAAATGAAATCTCATATTTTGATATAGAAAGCAGGAGATATTAAAAATACATCGTTTCGAAAAAGGATTAAGATACTTGTTTTTCTCGTTTATATTCACTGAAAGACAAATTTATTAAATTCAAAAGAGTCACCGAATGTCAAACAAATTCAAAAATAATACGAAATCTTTTCATCTTTCACATATGAATGGANTATATATATATATATATATATATATATATATATATATATATATATATATATATATATATATGTATATTAAATATTTGATAATTATCTATGTGAACATTATTAACACACTTTTCTAGGCGTGGAGCATCTATTTATGTATATACATATGAACGTATGTACGTTTGTATATGGATAATATGTATTAAGAAAATGTATTTCTTCCTTAAATATCTAATAATAAATAAAAATATATAAGTAATTATAAAACTTTCTTTTATTTCAAATTAAATTTTATTTGTTCTCATCATCAACATCACCAGGCCTTTCCATTCATACACACACACATATTAAATACTTAGCAATTAACTATGTGAACATTATTAACACACTTTTCGAGGGGTGGAGCATCTATATATGTATATACATATGAACGTATGTACGTTTGCATATGGATGTATGTATGAAAATACGTATGTATTATGTATGCAAATACACTTTACCAAATTTCGATATATAAACCACCTTGTATCGGATTTCCATCAGCGGTACACACTGTGATCGGTTCCGGTTCTGGACTTGGATTTGTCATCAGCGACATCTTGCGGCTGTTATCTGGGTTCTGAACTTGGATTTCGATCGGCGACATCTTTTGGCGGAGCAGCAAAGCTTGCGCCGATTGAGCAACCGGAGCAGCAGCAAACCTTATGCTAGCAGCGCTGCTCCTCCGGTTCCAGAACCGGCATAAATATACTACTGAGGTGCAATGGAAAGACCAAGTGGAGAAGGACTTCGCTTCACGTGGCATTTCCAATTGGCGTAAGTTGGCACAGAGAGAAGCGACTAGCGTGCTTTGTCGAGCTCGGCTAAAATCGCTTATGCGATTACAGCGTCAAATAGGGTGACAGGTTACAAGATCAACGGAAATAAGGTCATTAACTTTTTTTCCCACCCTGGAGCGAAATAAAGTCAATTGACATTATTACCTTTTCAAAAGCGAAATAAAGTCAACAAAAATTTGGAAATAAAGTCATTGACGCTATTTCCTCATTCAAATGGAAATAGCGTGAANTTTCCCACCCTGGTGCGAAATAAAGTCAATTGACATTATTACCTTTTCAAAAGCGAAATAAAGTCAACAAAAATTTGGAAATAAAGTCATTGACGCTATTTCCTCATTCAAATGGAAATAGCGTGAACAATGAAAAAAATGTTGTTCTTAAAATAAACATTGCCCCTTAAGTGTTGTTTTTTAATAGATGAAAATGGTTATTGCCAAATCCTCAGTGTGGTGCTATTAATCCACACACAATCATGAACTACCAATTGATTTTATTAACAAATTTAAAATTAAAAATATAGTAAAAACACGATGAGAAAAAAGAAACGGAAAACGCAGCTGGAATACGAGAAATATTTGAAGAAAGAGTATAGAAATGATCCAGAACCTGCAAAATATGTTTCGTTTCCACAAAAATAAACACTATTAAATTGAAGAAACAGTCCATGTCCAAATCCCCGGAGAAACACTGAAAGAATTCTGTGTTTTAAATTAGCCTACTGTGAACGAATTCGGAAAGTCTAAGGTGGAAAAGAAACCAACCTTTCTATAAGGAAACAATTATAGAAAAGGAATTCTCTTACACTGTATTCATGTTTCCGTCAGCAATTTCTGACATCATTTAAAAGCAGCTAAGGAGAACGACGAAACTATTCATTAGATGGCACATTCAACAAGCCAATGTGCCAAAATGCGGGTATAAACAATTATTGATTATTTAATATCGGAACCGAGATCATGTAAGTTAATTGATTGGTTATTGGTTTTCACACACTTTTGAAACACAAATTATATGGTCTTTTACTGCAGACAAGTTGTTACCAAAACACAGCAGAAATCTTCCAATAACTTACAAATATAAATATGTGAAATATCGAGGGCTTAAATTCATTAATACCCTCTATCTGCAATTTGCACAAAAACTAATTTCTGATTTTAGAAACCATCTGGGACTTATTACCTGTCATCACTGATATATTACTTCTGATTTCCAATTTATAATAGTGTAAATTCTTCTGTCAAGCGTTATATAAGGTAGCATTAGTATCACCGATGACAGCTAAATCTTAGGTGGATTTTTATATCAGAATCTCATCTTTGTGAAAAGTGTGCAGATAGAGGGTATTATTAAATATAAGCCCTCGATATGTAAAATATATAAAAAAAATTTATTTCAACAAATAAATCTACCTGCGTTACAGCACGGCGGGAGAGGGGGAGGGTCCGCGACGTAGCGTGACGTGGTTTGGCGCGCCGATCGCGCGGACGCGGGCCGCCGCGAAGCTAAGCAAATTTAATGTTTGAAAGAGCAATGTCAATGGATTTATTTCGTTTTTAAAAAGGTAATTATGTCAATTGACTTTATTTCGCACCAGGGTTGGAAATAAAGTCAATTGACCTTATTTCCGTTGATCTTATTACCTGTCTCCGTCAAATAAGAAGATGCAATTGATAAATGGACTTCCTCTTGGATGCGCCAGGAGGAACTAGGAGAACAGTCCTTATAAGACTGCGGCTACGGTTCGATGAAAAAATTACATAGCCGTAGCTTTCGCTTCGTCTGGAACATCTGCGACATTGTTACCAGGTGGAAACATTTCTCATTTAGCTCTTATGCAGCCATTGAACATACAAATCATCGAAACTCCCACGTGCAATATTTCCAGAACATCCGGTATGGGAAAAGTACTTATTACAAAAATGTTAACTCATTGTTTGGGATGAGTGGACGATGGCACATAAAAAATCTCTTGATTTTCTTGGTCGATCGGTGAGAGATTTGCGTAGAAATATTCAACCATTCGGGAATGCATTGATATTGCTCGCAGGAGATTTTACGCAAACCAATGTAATTTCTCGATTGACACCAGCGGGCGAGATAAATGCTTGCCTGAAATATTCAACATTGTGGCAAGACGAACATACATACATTGCAGTTGACTACGAATATGCATGTCCAACTACAGAGCGATTAATCAGCCGAGGTATTCTCGCGACAATTACTGAACGTAGGGAACGGAAAGCTGTCAGGCAATGAGAGATTAAGACGAATTTTATTGCCTGATAATTTTTGTAACTTAGAAATATCGAAAGGAGAACTGAACGAAAGAATGTTTCCGGATATTCAAATTAATTATAGGAATCACAATTGGCTCAGTGAACGAGCTTTTCTTGCCGCGAAGAATAGGATGTCGATGAAATCAATAATTTTTTTCAATCCAGCATTCGAAGTGATGAAATAACATATATGTACGTCGATAAACACCATTGTGGGAGCAAATGAATCAGTCAATTATCCAAAGGAATTTTTGAACCCGATTGATCTTCCAGGGATTACCCAACATACTTAAATTGAAAACAGGTGTGGCAATTATCATGTTGCGGAATATTAATCAGCCAAAATTCTGCAACGGCAAGTGACTCGCAGTTAAGAAATTGATGAACAACGTAGCGAAAGCAAAGATTTTAACGTGGCCTATCAAAGGTGAAGAATTCTCATGATTCCGACCGATACACCATTTCAAGTTAAAAGATGGCAAATCCCGATTCGATTGGCATTCGGAATCACAATCAGTAATGCTCAAGGTCAACCTTTGGAAAAGTATGGTTTAGATTTAGATGCCGATTGTATCTCACATGGACAAATCTATGTTGCATGTCGGCAAACTAGATAGCCTTGATATCTACGTAGAGAATGGAAAAACTAAAAATATTGTGTACCTACACACAAGTATTGCAAATCAAACTTATCTCAAACGTATGCTTTGTTTCGTTAATCATTTATCATCCATGTAACAGGAATATGCCACAGCAAAGCGTGGCCGAGTATAGCTAGTATATACATAAAATTCTTTAAAAAAATGCTCTTGAATTATAATATATTCATGTTTACGTACATCTTACACGAAATTGGTTGAAAAATTTTTTAAAAAAAAATCGTCTTCAGAAGAAATTTCAATATTATATGCCACTTTGCCACTGATCATGCAAACAGGTGCAAAAGGTCGGGACCTTACTTGGGGACCTTTTTTTGCATTTATGTGCCCGATTTGAGGATAAAATATCACTGTGAGGCGTTCATACTTGTGAAGTAACAAGTTTTCTATTTATACGTACAAAATTGTTTGTATCAAGACATATTGATCGATTTTTGTCGACTGGAAAATCGACTGAAAAATCGACCAGCCAAGACACTTACATTTTACAGTTGAATTGCCATTTACACTGGTCGATTTTAGCTGAACGGCAAAAATCGACCCGTGTAAAGGAAGCTTAATGGAACGCTATGGGAAAATTTTGTTCTCGCTTCCATTCTTCGTGAATACATAGTCCAGAGAGGATTTGTTCTGGTTTCGTTCTCTGTTAAAGCTCAGTTAGTCTCGCCTTAATTTAACTTACCGTAAGAAATCATCAATGATCCTCAACACGTCAACTTAAGCCAAGAGCGGAAATATTTTGCTTTTGTATTTTCTTTTTCAGCTGTTTAATAGTTCGCCGCCTAAAATGCCACATCAAAAAAATTCATGCAAACAAAAATGTTTGCGTTCATTTATTTTTGAGAAAAATGAAAACGAGAGTCTGGCAAGCGTGATTCTCTCACCGCTCTCAATTTCCGTAAGGCCGTAACTTAAGAACCTAAAATCTCCAGGTTCTTAAGTTTCTTACGGTAAGTTAAGTTTTAACTAACCGCCAACACAGTTTCTCATATAATAGGTTGGCCAAAATATTAAGTTAATTTAAGTTACGGAAATTAGGTCTAGACTAACCGAGCATTTAGAAATTTCCTGTGACTTGAACTTTGCCAGAACGTTCCGGAGACTTTTGTTGCCATTTTGTTCTATTAGAAATGTTCCCCAAAGTATTGTTCGCATTTTGTTCTCTTTGGGAACGTCCCTCTGGGTTTTTTTTTATTATATAATTCCTTTTCAGAACGTTCTCGACGGTTTTGTTATCACTTTCGTTATTGTGAAAACATCCCTGAAGGTTTTGTTCTCATTTCGGCTTGCTTTTTAAGCGTTCTTGGGAACAAAACTACGGGAACGATATTTAGTTTCGATCATACTTTTTTTCTCGGTCGGTTTTTTCTCGGGTGAAAGAAATAAAAATCAGTGAAAAATTTACGTTTGGTCTTATTTTAACTTTCTTTTACAGTTCATTGAATTTTTTCTGATTTATTTCGGATTTGCCTGATGCCACTTGGGAGGTCCATGGTTCAATTTATGGTGCCTGCAACGTCAAAGAAAGTTTTTTTTTTAAATAGCGGTCGCCCCTCGGCAGACAATGGCAAACCTCCGAGTGTACATCTGCCATAAAAAGTTGGAGTAAAGGTATAGATCTTTTCATTTGTGTCACAATCATTTATTGGAATCAAATATGGTATACTATTCATCCCCAAATAACCTAGGATATAATTCTAAAACTATTAAGAGGGTTGTACTTAACTGGGAAAAGCCTGGAAAACTTCGAAGAACTCAAAACTTTTATTGAGGGGTCAAGACTTGTATGAAATGAAAAAAACGCTTTATTTCATAAAAAAATCCCGTTTATTCGATATTCGCAAAATCTAGTCTAAAGAAAGCCGCCTATAAATATCTAAAGAAAACGGTGCAAACCGGCTCGGAAAAACCGAGTCTATCACCCTAATATCTATGAATTTGCGTGGTTGTTTGACATGTGAACGTACATATCTAGATAGATACATATGTAACTATATGGTGGTGTTAAATTTGACTTTAGAAGATTGTCAAGTGATAAAAGGTTATCCTCTTTAAACATGAAAACACCCATATCTGTTAACACTTTTATAACCTATCCACGATAGATACACATGTAGATTGAAGAATGGGCAAAAGTACTCATGTACATATGCATGAATGTATGTATATAAGTATCATCTACTTTTTAAATGCCCACTTAAATGAACTTTGGGGATGTTTTTGCAACGGCCGTGGTTTTTTATGGTCACGAATGGCCAAGTCGCATGTGTGTACATATACAGTAAAACCCGCTTAAGTACCTCACGAAAAATGTCAGCTTTTTGAGGTATTTAGGCGGGTTGGGTACTTAAAGGAACCCGCTTAAGTACCTCGATGCAGGTACTTAAGCGAACATAATTATTGATGTAGTTACATCTTCTTGTTAACATGCATAAATATGTAAATGAATGTAAAACATGAACATTTAATGAAGGATACGTAGTAAGATTGTAACATTATTTAATCAGTTAAACAAATAAAGAAAAACGTCATCTAAAAAAAA